AAACCACCTGGAGGGTCTTGAGCAGGGGAGGGACTTGACTGATCTTGGTAGAAGATTTCTCCGGCTGCCATGGGTAAATGCGGTAAGGGAGTGGAGATAGCAAGTATAGACAACCTTTAGAGAGTTTTGTTTTTTTGTGAAGGTGGTGGTAGCTGGAGAAGGATGTGGTGTCAAGGGGGAATTAAAAAAAGAGAGAGGACATTCTAGCATATTTACAGAATTATAGGGCAAAAACTGTGGAGCACAGTCCAGAGTCGGTGAGAGCTGAGGGCTCTAGTGTCTGAGTGGAGGGGGTACCAGGAGCAGGGATACTCATCCAGGTCCCAGGGGAGAAGGCAGGATGAACGGCACATAACGCCTGCCTGTCAGCCCAAGAGGTTTATGGGTACGGGGACTGGAGCTTTGGGGGAAGAGAAGGTATGATACAGCCATCTTGGGACTAGGGTTAGGGTTTTAGGAAAATGTAGAATTTGCTAGAAGGGCTGAGTGTTCACTCAAGGTTTGTGATCAGAAGTTTCCATTGAAACCAGTCAGTCTGGTTGGGTTATTCTCCAGATGCTCCGGGTGCTGTGTGGAGAATGGGGTTGAACTGGGCTTGGGATCTTGCCTACTGAGTAACTACGGCAACAGGCAAAGGCAAGGGAGCCATCCGGGATACATCTACGGAGGGCCCTGGGAGTCTGAGTTGGGGAAAGAGGGAAGGGAGGTCATAGAGGGGGTGGTGGACAGCCACGTGGGGAGGGCCCACAGATGTGGCAGAGGGAGTGCTGGAGCAGGAAGCAGAGGGAGAGGAGGTGATGAGCTCTGGGTACTGCTGAGGTCTGGGGTGTGAGCGTGTATGTGGGTGGGTGTCACAGGTGAATAAAGATTGATGGAAACAAGAAAGTCAAAGCACGGAGAGATAGGTGTTAGAGGTGAAGTCACTAGAAATGGTGATAAGTACAGTATTTGAGAGAGAGAAAGAGAGAAGGGAGTTCCAGGGACTGAGCTGGTCCTGCAGAGAAAGGGGATAACCGGGATAATTTACCTAGCTCTCCGACTCTGCGTGTCTGCAACTGAAGTTCCTTGTATCTCCCGCAAACCTTCTCCTCACCTTGGGAGATGGCCCCGTCACCCAGGGCAGAAACCCGGGTGTCCCTTTGGTGCCTCTCCACCTGATCCCCACACCCACTCAGATTGCCAAATCGATCCGTCCCCATCTCATAAATCTTCCTTAAATCCAGCTACTTCTTCACACCTGCTGCGCACACCCTTGTTGAGGCCATCGTTGTTTGTGACTTGGACCGCTTGTGTCAGTCTCCAAGTAGGTGGCCCCGCCCGGGCCCCTCAGCACATAAACCAGAGGCACTGTGCCTTAGATCACATCACTCCAGTGCTCAGCCTCTCTAGTGACTTCGCGTTGTCCTGAGGATAAAGTCCAAGATCATGATCAGGGCTTTACCAAGAAAGTGCTGCAGACGCAGCCCCTGCCTGCTTCAGCCTGAGTCCTCCCAGGTGCCTCTTCCTGGAGTACTTCCCATCCTCCTCACCAAGCTTGCTCTCCCTCCACCTGGCGCACTCCTGCTCTGCTTGGCAAAGTCCTCTTCTTTCTCTAGGCATCAGATTAAGGAAGTCTCAGGGAAGGGGCATCTGGGTGGCTCAGTCGGTTAAGGGTCTGCCTTTAGCTCCCATCATGATCCCGGGGTCCCAGGATGGAGCCCCGCATCAGGCTCCCTGCTCAGGATGGAGTCTGCTTCTCCCTTTCCCTCTGTGCCTCCCTCCCACCCTGCAAGTCTGGGTGCATGCACTCTCTCTCTCAAATGAATAAATATAATCTTAAAAAAAAAAAAAAGAAGCCTCAGGGAAGTTTTTCCTGCATCTCTGGCTGTTGGATCCACCTTTCCCCTCTCCCCAGCACCCTGTGCTCCCCAGCCTGCCATAAACTGTCCTTTTCATGGGATGTAAATTCCATGAGATCGGGGACCGTATCTGATTCTTCCCACATGAATCCTTGGCACGTAGCATGGGGCTTGTCACGTAAAATTGAAAAATAAGTATTTGTTGATTTGAATCCAATGAGAGATTCTTGAGGTGGAGCAGTTCTGGGTGAAGACAAAGTCCCAGGTGTGGTTCTGTGAGTGGGTAGCTAAATGCAGCGGAGGAGGAGGTCATGAGAGACACAGAGGGCATGGCACGAAAAGGATGGAATGACTCCCAGATGGTTCCCGCCGCCCTGGGATGTGAGAGTATACCCCAAGACCCTGACTCCTCGAGTCTTTCATGAGCGGAGGAGCAATGAGGGGGCAGCCGTGGGGGTGGGGCAGAAGGTGCAGGGGACAGATGGCAGGGGCCCAAGCTGAGTGAAGAGATTTCAAGAAAGGGGAGGTGGGAAAGTCTGAGAGTGGTAGTGACTGGGGTGGGGGGTTCTTGAGAGAGTGGGTGGGACTGAGGATGAAAATGCCCTGGCAGATGTGTTTCTAGAGGATTCTTCCAGCTTCTCTGAGGCCTTGGGCTGCTCAGATGGTGTTTGGTTCTGTATGGCTCACTGGCTTGGGACTTGGGACCTCTGGGAGCAGATCCCTCTTCATGGTGGGTAGCACAGGAGTCAGGTCCCTGGATGCCCTCCCCCGATGCTGGCCCCGAGGCAGACCCTGGGATGGGGACTCTGGTATCCCAGAGGCAGTGGGCTATGGCTGGTCTGCTGGCTGGCATTTGGCTGCTGTTTGGGTCTGAGTGGTTCTGAATGGGTTGAGAGCGCCAGCCTATGTTCTGGGATTGGGTGGTCACAGCTCTGGTCTGGATTGGAGGTAGAGCTACTCTTATTTCCTGGGATCAGGAGTTCCGTAGATGGTATTGGTGCCCTGCCCACGTCCCCTTTAGCTGGGGACACCCATTCCCTAGCTGCTGTGAATATAGGATGCTCATGGCTTATGGCTGCCCCTGGAGATTTGACCTTGATTAAATGGGAGTCACCTACCCCTTCCTGTCAGTCCTCCTGCCCACGGGCTGGACTCAAGCCAACGACTGACTGATACGGAAGTTCAACGCCTGGTGCCCTCTCCTCCAGCGGGAACAACTCAGTGGCGGCATGTATGGTCGGAAGGCCCCTCACTGCACAGGGGTCAAGGCTAAATGTCCCTGAGCCCATACCCAGCTCAGTCTCTTCCCTTGCCTGCTTCCCTCACTTCTTCATCTTCAGGCACATGAATTCCTGCCACCGGCTCTGCTTTCGGGGACCCTGAACTAAGACGAAGTGACTGCTGATCTTGTCCCATGATTCAGGGAGGGGGAGGCAGAGAGGCTCTCTATGGACCCCAGCCCCCTGTAGACTCAGCCCATCTCCATGGGCGTGGAAGTTCTCCTCCCCACTCTAGGCCAGTTTCCTCAACCATAAATGAAACGGTTAGGCTAGATTTAGTTAAAACATCAACAATGATGGAACTTACAAGTCCACAAGAGGACGACTTATCTGCACTCCCTGGCCAAGGTGTAGTGAAGGATTCAGGTAAACAAGACAAGTCCCTTCCCTGAGCAGCTCATAGCTCATTTACTCATTTACCAAACATTTATTAAAGGTAGCTGGGGACCTGGGTGAGTCAGCGTCCTGCTCGTGAAGGGCTCACACACTGATGGGGAAAACAGCCCAAGAACAAGCTAGGCTTAAGTGTTCGGACCTTGGGATCTGAGGAAGGGTCCCAGAGGAGGAAGGGAGGGCATTCCCAGTGGCTGGAACACATATCTGAAGGCCTGAGGCGTGAGGCAGCGTGATATCTGGTTGGGGACCTGTAAGCCGTTCGGTATTATTGGTGAGTACAAGGAGGGAGGAAGCAGGGGTGACGTCGGGGAGGTCAGAAGGGACCAGGTGGAGGGGCAGTGGGGAATAGTGGTGGGCGTGGAAGAGTTTTTGAAGCAGGAGAAACGCTGCAGTCCTGTGCGTGTGTAGAAAGCCACTCTGTCCCAGAGGTGGAAGAGTGGCGAGAGAGGGAGTGCAGACTCAGGAGTTTAGGGTTGGAATGGGGGGGGGTGGGGGGTGGGGGGGGATGTGATACTGCACTGGGTTGTGCACCGTGAGAGGCTGGAAGATGGGAAGGCATGAGGGTGTCAGGATAGCTCCCGGCTAGGACAGCTAGGTGGATGGCGCACCATCCATGGTACAGGGTGGGTGATGTGTGAGGAGGGTCCTTGCAGTCCCTTTGGGAGCTGCTGACTGGAGGAGACCTGGGGGCCTCCTGGAGGGTTGATCCCTGGGCAGATGGTGGGAGGCTCTGGGGCTCAGAGGCAGTTCTGGGCTGGAGGTGTGGCTCTGGGCGTGGTTAGGGTCTGTTGGGGGTGGGGGTGGGAGGATGAGGGTATGCATGTCTGGGGAAGAGAAGGGGAATTCCTCAGACCTGAGGCTGTGGGAGGGACCCTTTAGCTCGGATGCTCTCGGTAGGTTTCTGGCTTGTGGGGTTAACCCCCTTGGGCATCCTGGCAGACTCCCCATCCTGGGCTTGCTCTCAGCACCATTGTACCCCTTCCAGGCCTTCCCCTCCCACCCTCAGAGGAGACTCACTTCCCTGAGACCTGTGCTGGACAGGGTGAGGGAGGCTGGAATGGCGGAGGCAGGGGCCTCCTGAACCACATGCATTCACTGGAAAACAGAACTGTGCTGGGCCCAGAGTCTCCTGTGGTCCCACTCCTCCTGCCTTGGCTAGCGGCTTACAGAGTCCAGAGGCCCCTGGAGCGGCCTCTTCATATTCCCACGGTGTCCTGGGGGTGCCCTTTTTGTGGCATATGTTGTGTGGTGTGTGTGTGTGTGTGTGTGTGTGTGTGTGTGTGTGTGTGTGTGAGATGGATGAGCTTGGATCTGAGGTCCTGGGGCTCAGGTGCCCACTGAGTGGTTGTGGCCTCTTTACTGAGGTCCATGCTGAACCCCCCTGAAGCTTCTACCTGCCACACCCCACCCAGGCTATAAAATACTGGGAAAATCACATTTATTAATGTTTTTCACACACCCCAGTGTCTTATACAAAATTCCCACCAGCTGTCAACCTCCCTCCCCTGGGACTTAGGACCCAGGGACAAAACTGCTCTCCAGGAGCAGGCTTCCCAAGCCCTGCAGCCATCTTCCTCCCCAGTGCTGCCGCTGAAAAGATGCCACTGCCCTTGTGTGGCCTTAGGGAACAGCCTGCGGCCCCAGTGGTCCTCGCCACTGCCCTCACAGGTCATGGAAACCCACCTGCCTCCATTGTGGCTGACCCAGCCTTCATTAGGACAGAGTTCCCGTCTTGGGGGTGCTCTCCCTGGGAGAGGATGTACGGGGGGCAGGTGTCAGGCAGGTGGTCCCGGTGCCGAGACCGCTTGCGCCTTGGGCTGAAGGTCTCCAGGCACCTCTTGCCCACCAGGTAGGTGACCTCACTGAGGTTGAGCAGGATGCAGATGACAGCGGTGGCCACCATGAAGTAGGTGAAGACCTTCTTCTCGGTGGGCCGGGAGATGTAGCAGTCCACCATGTGGGGGCAAGGGGACTCGGAGCAGACCACCACACGCGGCATGTCATAATCCTCGTAGAGGCGGTGGAAGAGGTAGAGGAACCCGGCGTCGACGGCTGCCTTGAAGAGGAGACTCAGCAGGTAGGTCCACCAGAGCCCACCGCGCTTCTTGTTTGGGTTGTCGTACAGGGACGGGGCGCTGGGCCCGTGCTTCAGGCGGTGGCGGCGCTCGCGCTCCTGGCGGTAGGCCACGTGCATGACCACGAGCAGCGAGGGGCAGGTGACCAGGATGAGCTGCAGGGCCCAGAGGCGCACGTGGGACACGGGGAAGAACTCGTCGTAGCAGACGTTGGGGCAGCCCGGCTGCTTGGTGTTGCAGACGAAGTCCTTCTGCTCGTCGTCCCACACCTCCTCGGCCGCCACCACGTACACCAGCACACGGAAGATGAACACCACTGACAGCCAGATGCGGCCCAGCGCCGTGGAGTACTTGTTGACCCCGCTCAGGAGGCCCTGCAGGGACGCCCAGTTCATGACAATTGTGTCCTTGCTTCCTCACGGGGACCGTCTGCAGCTGGGAGCACCCACTCGGGGCGTGGGGACCACGAGGCCAGGAGAGCCTGGAAGTGGGTGTCCTTTGTTAAAGGTGCAATTGGCAAAACCCTTTCACCAACCCTCTGTCATCACGTCCTCGCTTGCCGTGACTTGGTGGGGTCGGGATGGCTCTTATCCCCATTTCACAGGGGAGGAAGCTAAGGCCCAGGGAGACACCCAACCTAGGCTCCCAGCTGGAAGTGGCAGGGCTGGCCTTGAACCCCCACCTTCCAGTTGTAAAACCAGGGACGAGTTTATTCTATAATGTAATGGATAAACGTGAAGGATAATCATCTCACATGCATATACCTGCCAACGTCTTCGACCCCAGGTTTCAGCCCTGTGGATCACACGACTTCTACAGAAACAGGACGAAGGTGTGGATTGGGTGACTGCCCTCCTTTCAGCTGCCAGGACTGGACAGGGGCAGGAGGGGAGGGTGGTGTGTCTTTATCTTCCTGCAACTTCTACTGAGTGCCAACGGGAGCCTGGTCCTGTGCTGGGCGTGTTGCTATTGGCCTCTTTGGTGGCCCCCTGAGTGATAGCCGTCCTCACCTCACCGAGAGGCCCAGGACAACCCCAGCCCTGACATTTCCTCCCAGACTAAGCAGGCTCTTTGGTACCCTGGGGTTTGGCATTACCCACCACCCCTCCCCTACCCTTCCCCCACCCCTCCCCCACCCCCAGTGCTGACTGTCCTGACCACACTGGGTTTCTCTGGAATTCCAACTATTTCAACTTTAGGGAGGGACTGGGGAAGGGACGGAGGCAGGATTCTGGATTCTGGTTCAGTCCTCCCCCCCATCACTTACTTCTCTCAGGAACACCCTCCTTCTGTGCTAGCCAGCTTTCCCATTACTCCGGGTCAGGCCCCTCTCCGTGTGCTCTCAGTCCTCCACACCCCTTTATCTGGAGCGCCATCAGGTTCCATCCTGGCCCATGCCCCTCCCCTGTCCCTGACTCAGACCTCAGCATCTTCAGAGCTTGTGACCCTGGGACATTTTCCGAGTACCCTTCTCTGTGGAATTGATCACAGTACTCAGATGATCTGTTTCCCTGCCTCCATGCCAGACCGTCAGTGCCTGGAGGGCAAGCTTCTACAGCTCATGCATCTGTTTCCCTAGCCCTCAGCACCTGGCCTGGCCCGGTGAACACATGGATAGACGTTTGCTGAACTGAAACCCCCTCTTCCAGACCCCCCACCTCCTTGTCTCTTCTCTGGTTCTCTGTTTTCCCTTTGGACTGACAGGACATCCCTCCCCCTCCTTGGGGCTTCCTTGGGGTTTCTCCAGGGATCCTCTGTCTCCCCTGCTCCTCCCCGGAGCCCAGGCTTCAGCCGGTGTTCCGGGGATCCTCAGCCCATCGGTCCCTGCTTCCCAACCCAGTCTGCTGCCCAATTTGGGCCTCACCTTTCTCGGGTCTAGCAGCGACTCTCCGGTCCCTGGGCTTGTCTGTCTGCCTGAGGGCCTCCCAGAGGCAGCTTTTGTTCCTCACTCCTGTGCTGGGTGGAGCTTTCTGAGCCAATGAGCCAAGGGAGAGTGAACGGGTGGGCAGGCAGGAGGACTTCCCTGGGCACATATTCAGAGCAAACACCTGCAGCTCTCTCCCCTGGCCCACGCCTTCTCTCCAGCCTGGATGGGCATGGCTGGGTTTGGCTCCCTAGGCTGGCAGGTATGTGGGTGAAGCTGTCTTTGGGGGGGGAGCAGTGCAGGAGGGTATCCTTATGACAGGGTCCGGGTCAGCACCAGTGGTCCCTATCTGTTGCCCCACCCCCTTCCCATTACCTTATTGCCCCTGGTCTATCTGTCCCCAGGCCTCTCTCCTGCCCTTTGCTCTGGAAGCACGGTCCAGAGCAGCTGCCATCCCTGGAGAGGGGCAACCTTGATCCAGCCCGGGATCACATCCCACCCTGGCGGGGACATTTCTGGGGACTAGGGCTTGGGCTGCTGGTGAGCTGTGGAGGGGATGGGAGGAGCTGATCATGGTTCTTTTAGAGGAGGACACCTGCTGCCCTGGCGGAGATAAAGAATGCAGGCAGGCAGTAGGAAGTGTCCCAGGTGGTGTGGGCCCAGTGGAGGTCCGTCCTCTGTGGGCCTCTGGGGAATCCTTCTGGGAAAGTCAGGGTACTTCCCAGTGGGGGTTGCAGAGGGGCCTTGGGCCTGCATCCCGGCTGTCCTGGTGGCTGGGATAGTGAGGGTTAATGAGCAGCCAGGGAGGGGCTCCTCTGCTTCATTTCCCACAAGCATTTATTGAGCACTTCCTAATACCAATGATTAACATTTATGTGGCCTTTTACAGCTGGCTTACCCCATCCATAGCCATGAACTCATCCAGTCCCCCACCCCCCCCAGGCTCCGTATTATTAACCCATTTTGGAGAGGAGCTGAAGTCCCTTTCCCAGAGTCCCAGTGGAGCATGGGTTCGAACTCAAGTGTTCTGACTCAAAAGTTCATGAACTTTCCATGGCAACACACAGCTTCCCACAGGCCAAGCCCCATTATATTTTCAGATAGTCCTCGGACCTCAATTTGCAACTGGGATAAAGGGTTGTCTAGAGCATGAGCAGGTGGCATGACCCCCAGGAGTGCTGGGGACACTTTGCTGGGGGAGGGAATGGCCCCTCACAAGGCCGGGTCAGGTCCAGCCCTTTGCAGGGACACAGAGGTTGAGCCAGTGACCTGAGAAGGGTCACAAAGGCCAAATGACTGAATGGCACCTTGAATCAAGTGGATGAGTTGACTTTTATTAAGCCTTGACCGTCCCCTGCCCCGCTCCCCCAATGTACTTGCACATCCATTTTCTAAAGAAACCGCTTCTCATAGCAACACCCCGAGACATGGGCTTCACTTCCATTTTACATAAAAGGAAATGCAGATTCAACTCAGAGGGGTCAATGGCCCAAGGCCCCACAGCTGGGGCAGGTGCCGGGCCCTCCCTGCTGCCTGCCCCCAAGGCTGCACTGTGGGAGATGCCGGGTTTGATGAGGTGGCTCTCACAGGATGGTCTTTGTCACGTGGTCTCGAGGGAGATCTGGTAAGAGAGGAGGGTGAGCATCCGAGCCCAGAAAGATGAGGTCACCTGAGAGGAGGTCGTCCCCCTTGCAGGAAGAGGTGGCACCATCCGGGTGATGGCCCACGCCTGTGGCCCTGGCTCTCCTTGCTGCCAAGCCCTCGCGGCACCTCTTGCTCACCAGGTAGACCAGCTCTACGAGGTTGAGCAGGATGCAAATGGCGGCCGTGACCACCATGAAGAGAGTGAAGATGTTCTTCTCCGAGGACTTGGAGATGAAGCAGTCCACCGTGTTGGGACACGGAGCTATGTAGCACTTGACCACATGAGGGAGGGTATATCTGGGATAGAATGAGTGGAACACATAGAGGAAGGCGGTGTCCACGGCGGCCTTGAACACCAGGCTGCAGACATACGTCCACCAGAGCCCACCCCGCTTCTTGCCGGGGTACAGGTAGAGGCGTCCGCCGTCCTCCCCCACCGCTTCTCGGTGCTTCTTCTCCCGAGCCTCCCGGTAGGCCACGTGCATGACCACGAGCAGCGAGGGGCAGGTGACCAGGATAAGCTGCAGGGCCCAGAGGCGCACGTGGGACACAGGGAAGAACTCATCAAAGCAGACATTGGAGCATCCCGGCTGCTTGGTGTTGCAGTCAAAATCCTTGTGGTCATCGCTCCACACCCGCTCAGCCGTCACCAGGTACACCAGCACGCGAAAGATGAAGACCAGAGACAGCCAGATGCGCCCAAAGGCAGTGGAGTACTTGTTGACCCCGCTCAGGAGCCCTTCGAAGATCCCCCAGTTCATAGTGGACCCAGGCGTTGGCCGCTCCTGCTGGGAAATAATGATTTTTCACATTTATTGAATACTGACTCTGAGCACCTTATGGAAATATATTATCTGTACTCAACTCCCACAGAGGAGCTAGATTCTATTGTTGTCCCCATTTTACAGATGGAGGAAATGGAGGTTCGGGGGGCTATGAAGGTTGCACAACTACTAAAGGCAGAGCTGGGGTCAGAACCCAGGTAATTAAATCCAGAATCCATAAGAGTTGGGAAGGTGGGTTCAGGGAGCTACTCTTTCCTCCCGGGGCTGAGGCTCTGGTCTTGTGGTCCTGCAGCGTGAAAGCTTGAGTTATGGGACATTCTGCCCTCTCCCTCTGTTCCAACTCTGGTCCTCCTCCTTAGGGGGCAGAGCCTTAGGAAGACTTCTCTCCTTTTGAGCCCCTCTCCTCTTAGCCCCTCCTAAGGGGAACCTGCTCCTTGCTCTTTACTTGGCTTAGGGGGTTGGGTGGGAGAGACTGCAGGAAATTTGTCCCCAAACTCCCATCTGGTCTAACACTCTGTAAATACCCAGGCAATGTCTTGCTCATGTGCAAGTCACTTGAAGCAAGGCCAGTGGTAACCCTGCTGAAAGATAAAGTAGGGGACAATTGTTCTCTTTATCCAATAATGTTCCCAGAGTAGCCTGGTGTTCTGGGGATTCCTAAAGTGGTGTTCCATGGAACCATGCCCATAGTTTGGCAACTGGAACAGTTAAAGGATTCTGTGTTCAAGAAAGGTAGGCAAACGTAGGTTTAGCAAAGTTACATTTGATCTTAGCCAAAAGGGCCGAGAAGCGATCAGCAAAGTTAAATAGGGCCCTTACTTGACCAAGCGAATACATTGACACTTGAATCCCCAAAAGGGAAGGAATATGGAGCATTGCCTGAACTCCTTTGACCACAAAACCTTTTTTTTTTTTTTTTTTTTAAATCATGGTGTGGAATAGTCTTGTCTCAACTGCAAAATGGGAAATGCTGCTCTGGTCAGTTTCGCTGTTGAGTTTGGCGGGATGAACACAGGTGTCAGATCTACCTCCGTTTACGGAATGTGACTGCCACTCAGAGCCAGACTTTCACTTCCTGTCTTGGAATTCTGCCTGGTTCCTGGTGGGGTGGGGCTGG